CAAATGTAACTTCGTTATAATTCATACAATCTTTTCCAGGTTTATTTTCTTTGTCTTAGATTTTATTATTTTCTTAAATCGAAATAATCGAATTCACGTTTCGGAATATTGCACGATGGTTTCAAATGTGCCGCAGCATTGCCTTTGGCCTGCTGGTGATGGCACATGTCCTCTCTATGTTACGGAAGAGTTAATCTTTCTAATTATCACGTCTTTAACCATCAATAGAAGCCGTTCTAGGAGACAACTGCTTTATTTAGACAATAGATTTCTCCAGGGATCGCCAATGAAATAAAATATTATGCCAACGTAATTCAGCTGGTGGTTGGTTACCTGCTTGTAAATCCTTTCCTTTACTATTTCTACTACAATGTCCACCCTTCCTCCCCCAGCGCTCCCCCCCTCCCCCCTCCCCCACCTTGGTCTCCCCTTTCCCCACCCCAAATGTTGTCTCTATGTTCACCAGGTCACAAATTCCAATCTCCTCAAGGAAAGATTCATTTTATATGAATATATAAAATCATGTTTCCTCCACATCAAAAGTTTTAACAAATGCATTCCTCGTACCTCGCTAGTGTATGCATTGTGGTGGTGGTGGTGGTTTGGTTGGAAGTTGGGGGTGGTGCTGTTGTAGAAATTCTATGTTAAAGTTCATTGCATTGATTTTATAACTTGCAATAAGCTCACATCGATTCCTGCCTGTTGTTTCTGAACAAGCCTTTTAAGTTACCTTTAAGCACAGGGCCTGATGTAGGCCTACACAACACTTAGTCTCAGAGGTGCTTAATTCTGACTAGCCGGAGGTTAATTTCGGAGTGAGTTCTGTCTGTTGGCGTTATACCCAGTGCACACGGGAAATCGGATGCATCGATTTGAGTCAGACCTTGCCATATCATTTTTCTTCAATGATGAAACTCGATAAGATAGGATAATTAAACTTAATTGTCCGAGAGCTAAATTTTTCTTGGCTGTACAGGACCGTAAAAACTTAAGCAGGTATACATAAAATTGAATTATACATTACTCTCATTAAAATTCAATAGGAAAAGAAACGTAATCATGGGGCAAACGCTACTACTTTGGCAAGATACAGCCGATTTCAATTAGATCTAGATTCAACTGTGAAATTATGAAATGGTATAGGTTTGACGCCCCTATCAACACTAGATCTATTAGTATTGGGCTATTTAAGAGGCAGAACCTCCGAGGTTAATGTCCATCTCAGAAAGGACCGAGCCAAATGGGGAAGTCGTGTAAAGAGCCTTTCCCAAGGACAAAACGTCCGACCGAGATTCGACTGTACTTTCAAACCAGACATGTTTATCTTTCATGGTCGCGAATCGGATCAGTCGTTTTTAGCAATCCATAAAGGAAAATCTGACCAAGCCCCGACTCAAATCGATAAATCCGGTCTGCAGTGTGCACTGGGTTTTACAACACTTTCCCGTTATTATATGCTGTTGCAAAACGTTCTGATTGTCATTTACCTCGTACAATGAACATACCTCGGTTCTATTTTACCATATCAGCAGCCCTAGCTAAGGAAAAATTTGCTGATGGACATTGGCGAGTCTGCAAAAGGATAAACCGTGATGTTTTAGATCTAGTTCAGTTTTCTTCACAAGACTGGACGAGCATACAACTCGAAACATTATTGTCAAATACTTTTCGTATCGTGTTCTCCAAGGATTTGTTTTATATTTATATCGATCGGAGCCGTCATAAATACTGATAGTATTGTCAAATATACTATGTCATTTTCGCTGTCACATTGTGCTCTGTAGAGATTTATTTATATCGATCAGAATAAGCGAACACACACACACACACACACACACACACACACACACACACACACACACACACACACACACACACACACTCACGCACACACACAGTATATATACTGTAAGACATATTGCATATTGCGCTCTCTTAGGATTTACTCTACTGATCAAAGCTTGTAATAAAATACTATTGTCAAACATTATTTTCAAGTTTTGATCTCTAAAGATTCGTTAAAGTGATTGAAATTCGTGATAATATAGTAATGTCAAACATGCGTTACATCGCATTTATTAAGGATTTGTTATACCGATGAAAGCACGCGATTATAAAGGTATTATTATTGTCAAACACATTTCATAATAATATGCTTTCTAAGGATTTACTATGGGTCCTACCGATCAAAGCCTGTAAGAAATATTATTGTTACTCGTATTTCATATTGTGTCTATGAGGATTTGTATCAACAGATTTTCTGGAATGCTGAGAGTTAAAATTTGATCTGAAAAGAAGTATACAATATCATAATATATTTATCGATCCTAAGACAGTCGGAGGAGAAGAGGAAAAGTTTTTGTTTTAAAAAAAAGGTTTTAGTAGAGGTTTTACGGCGCTCTCAACTGCATAAAGTCATGTGAGCGCCAGAAGATTAGAGCTGTTACAAGAGAGTAACAAACATAAAAAAGAAGTAGAGGAGACAAGGACGATAGATGTTTGATAGGAAAGAAGAAGCAAACCACACCAGAGCACCCGCCAACCACCCACGAAGAGGGAAAGCAGGAGGGACAGATATAACAAAATAGACACCGTAGAGAAGAAGATAACAACGGCAAAATCAATTGACTCACAACGATTGGTGTGAAAGGATTTGTTTTGTGAAAAAGTAATGAACTATATGGAAGAAGTTTTGCCATAACATTTTTTATCTTAATCAACGGATTTCAGTTGAGACTGGTATACAAAATCTACCGCCTTTCTGGACTTTCTCGTTGCCATTTAGCCAATAAAGTTGCTAAATCCCAGGACTATGACCCATCTGGGATTTTTGAGTGTGCGTGGGTTTTTTATTTTTCATTGAGTTTAGAGTAAAGGCAAGAACATCTACACAATAATGGTCATTTAGTGCTGAGAAACAGTCAGGCAGAGACAGAAACAGCAGGAGCAAAGTTGAGAAGTCGGACGTACCAGTGGCGCCCTCCAACCACCAAATGGCCTATCTTCTCAACAGGAACTCCTCCAAGACCTCATAAAAAACAACAACCTCAGACCTGGTAGTCTACGCATTATTTCTGAGGCCAATATGACGTCACTATTATTGAAAACGTTTGTGAGAGTTGTAGCACAACTGTTATTCTGTCTGGAAACCTTGTGTCAAGCCCAAATGCAGGTTGGTTCTTGCTACCTCAGCAAGGACACGTCTCTCCAAGACAGAATCACGGACCAGTGGTTGATCAGAGAATCGACCTTAGGCCAAAGAGGACTCCTGTTTCGCTGTATTTCCAAATGTCTAAAGACCACTTCGTGTGTGACTGTTATGGTTAATCCCTCGACTGGACACTGTCGTATGCACGCAGCGAGGATATCTACTTCAAATCGTTTGACAGCAAGCTCGAATTTCAAAACATTTCACGCTACTTGCAGAGGTAAAATAGGAGACACACACGCGCGCGCGCACACACACACAAACACACACATACACACACACACGCACGCATATCACACACATACGCACACACACATACACACACACGCACATACACGCACGGTGCACGCACATGTACCCACTCAAATACAGTCATACACACACATGCACTCAAACAGATACACAAACACACACACACACACACACACACACACACACACACACACACACACACACACACACACACACATACACTCGTGTAAACACAAACACAAACACATACACACACACACACACACACACACACACACATATATATATATATATATATATATATTATATATATATATATATATATATATATATAAATATTATATATATAAATATATTATATATATAAATATATACGCACATTTGATACACACGAGGGAGGGAGAGACGGAGTGACTGTGAAAAGAGGGAGAACTTCAGGTGTTAGATGGTGCTATGCACACGCACGGGATTTGGGGGGGGGGGGGGGGATTTGACTGCGCTATAATCATAGTTAGTGTACAGACTTATACTGACCCCTAACTATAGTTATAGTGCGGTCAAAATTCGAGGAACAGCTAATCCTCAAATATATCTTTAACGGGTATATCTATGTCATCCATACTTTGCACAGCAGTTTTTATGAATTTGTTTTAACTTAATCATTTCCCATAACAATTGAGGCTAGAGGCTAGATTAAAAACCTTGTCTTCGTAAATTTATATAAAATACAAGAAATCTCCGTCACGCAGAAAATGGAGCTGTTCACAGCATTTAATTATTCCCGCTTCTCACACTCATACTATGTTATAATATGGATTACGTCACAGCTCACCAATGACAATTTTTAGAGGCAAAACTTGCAAAGTAACTAGAAATTAATTTTATAGTAAACACATTTTTGTACCAATGGTTCTCAAAACACGTGTGGAAAAAAGATAGTATAACGATTAGGGGGAAAAAATGACCTACTTGCTTTTAAAAGCGATATTGCCCTCGCTGTAAACCTTTTAAAATCTGTAGAAACCACCCACTTAGATGTTTTTAAAGTTATTATTAAGGAACTTTTTAGTATACAGCTAGCAAGTGTTTTCAAGTCATTATGCAATAGCTGGAAAGTCTTTTTATTTGTTAAAATTATTATTACTTATTATTTATTTTTTAATTATTTTTTTTTTATAGTAGAGGTTTTGCGACCCTCGCAACTGCACAAGGGCATATTATGAGTGCCAAGGAGTGGAGGTCAACAGAGAAGTTCTTGCAGGGAATCGGGCTTACTCTTCTCACATCTCTAGCTCCAACAGCACAGAGTCTGCTTCGACTATAAGTTGTGCAACGAAATTTTGTATCGCACTATAGGAAGGAATGGTCGTATTACAATGACACTTAGAGAATGTGATTTCTGTCTTCCTAGAATACTGCATGCTGGGGTTCGGGGAAATCCAAAGACCAATGTGAACTGAAGAGTGTAGTGAATAAATTTTAAGCGAACGTGGTCTTGAATACCAAAAGATAACACCCCCATCAGTGGACAATTCTCCAGTGTACACGGTTTTGAAGGCAACTCAAACGGCAAAGCAGTGTGGCTAAAAATATTATCCCACTCCCATCTTATTCACCAGATATCGTAGCATGCTCTGACATTTTCCTTTTCTCTTTTCCCCAATTCTGAAAAATAAACTACGAACACCTCTAATCTTTGAAACTTATATGGCCCATCTATGTTGCAAATGCCGTGAAACTTTTACATGTCCTAAACCAAACATTTAAAAAGTTAAGTTTGCGTTAACATTATCAAAATGTCATACAAATTATCTCTTCAGCCCGCTCAGCGTTTGGAGTCCCGTGCACACGTAGTGGCGACTGTCTTCTGGAGAACAGCGACTGTATAGACGGGACCTGTCAGTGTGGCATGCGCCACGCCTACTCCCCGGACTCTCTCACCTGTGTCGGAGGTGAGAATGATGTCTAGACCCTAGGAATGTGGGGTTTTTTGTGTTTTTTTTTACTTCGGATTGTCTTTTTAGACATATCTTAAATGCAGGTGCTTTCAGGCCCCTATAGATGCAGATTTGATCATTAGTAGGCGGGTTTCGATCCCGCCTGTCAGGACTAACTCAAGCCGAG